TTTTTTTTTTTTTTTTTTTTTCCTCTCTCTGCCTCCTTTTAGAGGAAAAGTCCGGTAAGAAACAGTGTTTTTATCTCCTGGGATATCTTCCCCAGCCTCGTGCCCTCCTGTCCTGTCTCTAGAGCTGAAATGTCACAAGCRAATAACAAATCCCGCCCTTCTCCAGCCAAGTTTCGTTTCCTCTGCTGCTGATTCGGAGCTTTTTAAAACAGAATGTTTAGAAATAGAGCCGGGCTTGGCTGTGAGGGCACTCTGGGGTGGGTTTGGGGCAGGATTTGGATGAGTGAGGGCTCGGTTTTCCCCGGATCAGGGCATATCCGAAGGGAGAAGGAGCAGGAATCCCCCACTCGTGGGGTTTCTCTGAGAGAACTCGGCTTCCAGTGGGGAAATCGCCCCATTTCCCAGGGTTTGGGGTCCCCTGGGGCTCTCCTGGGGTGACCCACGAGGTGTGGTGGCAGCTGGGGACCCTGGGGTGCTGACCTGTCCCTCTCTGACCAGGTGTCTGTTCTCTCCCTTCTCGCTGACCGCAGCGGCGCAGCCCGGTAAGAACCCGAACCCCAACCCCAACCTCAATCCCAATCCTGACCTCAACCCCAACCCCACCTTCAACCCCATCCCAACCTCGACCCCAACCTCGACCCCAACCCCAATCCCACCCCCATCCCAGCCCCAACCCCAATCCCAGGAATGGGCCCATGGAGGGATCCCCAGGGCTCTGGGGTGGGCACAGGGACAGTGCCAGCGGTGTCACACCCCGTAGGGTGAGCCCAGGGGGCAGTGGGACCACAGAGGGGTCCTCAGCCATGGGATTTCTCCCTCTGCATCCCTCTGGAGATCCTTTCCGTGGGTTTGGGATGTCCCCACTCCCATGGCAGGGGGGATTTGGGGTTTGCTCTGTGTGGGGTCAGCCCAGGGCAGCGCTGAGCCCCCATTCCCAGCGGGATTGAGCTCCCTGTGGATATGGCGCTCGGGATAACCCCAAAAGCAGAGCTGCCAGCGGGGTTTGTGTGCCCCASACCCCTCCTGGGAGGGATTTCTGCTCCCYGGGGTCAGCCATGCCCAGGAAATGCCACCTCAGACTGCTCCTGGCACCTCTGTGGGGCTCTGGGGTGGCCCCTGCCATGTTCCCCTGTCCCTGTGCATCCCACTAATTCCTGTGTTTCTCCTTCCAGGGGACGATCAAAAGGAATTTATCCAGTGAGTGTCTCCTGCAG